GCTATCTGGCAAACAACAATAATAAAATGTTGCCTATGAGAACAGATGTATTATTTAATTTAAAATAATTCTAGAGAATGAAAATATGTATACATACAGCCAATTTTCATTATTCACAGATTCCAGATTTGTGAAGTCACCCACTCCCTAAAGTTTATTTGCAACCCCCAAATCAGTACTCAGGGCACTTTCATGGTCATTCATGGTGATGCACAGAGCAGTGAAAAATCTGAGTTGCCGGCCGCACCTGTTCCCAGATGAGGTTGAACAAGGCAATGCTCTGTCTCCTTGTTTCAGCTTATTCTGTAAACAAGTTTCCTTTTGCCGACTATTTAGTTCCATGTTTTTCTCACTTTTGTGTTTTCTGTTGGTGATTTTGCTGCTTAAAATGGCCCCCAAGCCTAGTGCTGAAGTGCTGTCTAGTGTTCCTAAGACAGTGATGTGACTTATGGAGAAAATCTGTGTGTTAGATAAGCTCCGATCAGGCATGAGATATAGTGCTGTCGGCTGTGAGTTCAACATTGATGAATCAACGTATATATTAAATTAGGTGTCTTTAAACAGAAACACTCATAAAACAAAGATATATATATTTATTGGTTTACAAAAATGTGACCAGAGGCTCACAGGAACCAAACCCTGTATTTCTCCTGGGAGCAAAGGTACAAGATTAGCTATTTTTGTGTTTGGGGTGATTCATGAAACCTATATACCATGAAAAATGAGAACCGGCTGTATATGTATACACACGCACACACACAATTATTTTCAGAGTTCACCCACTTTTTTCATTGTTTTTTATTTCATTTATTATACTTTTCAATCTCAGAATTTCTATTTGGTTCTTTTTAAAAAATATATATATATAGTTTTGAAACTTGATGAATGAATGTGGGGTGGGGGTTAGGAAAAAGGGAGGAATCAAACACATCTTCTATACTTTTGGCTCAAGCAACTGAGTAGAATTAGTGCCATTTACTGAGATAAGGGTGAGTGGTGGTGGATGACAGGTTTGGAAGTGAAATAAAGGAAACTGTTTCATGTGTCAAATTTGAGACTCCAAGTGGAAGTCTGGAGTAAGAAGTTGAACTTATGACTTGGTAGTTCAATAGAGGCATCAAAGGAGGTGAAGTATAATTGGCAGTCATTAACATATTGATGGAATTTATAGCTACCAGACCGGATGTAATCCCTAGGGATGAAATCTCTGGTACATGCCAACATGTAGATATCAGGAAGCCATGAAGGGACCATCACCACCAATAGAACCACCACTATTGACACTATCACCAACATCACCAACAAATGACCAGGAAGGAGCTATTAGCAAGTAGGAGACCGTGATGCTCCAGAAGACAAGAGAGTGCATCAGGTTCTCCCAGCTTACTCACCTGATCACAGTGATGCCAAGGCTTGCCAGGTGTTATGAAGCAAGAGGCAACCAATGACCTCCCAGTCAGAAAGACCATGATCATGCCACCCTCTGATAAGCTGCACCAGCTTCATCCTCTTGACTGGAGAAACCAGCCTGTTAGGGACAGATCCCTTCAGGTCTAATGCCCAGGCTCCTGGGAAGATGTTTGCCTCCCCATGCACACTGCTCTCCACACCTGCTGCCTACGCCTGCCTCACCCATGAGGTCAGCAGAGCCGCTCATCTATGGTCAATCTGTATAGCCCTCTTGGGAGCCTGTGGTGTAGAGGCAGCCTCACCCTCACAATGAGATCTACAGAGAATCCTCATTAGCCAACAACATCGATTACTACATCACTATCCATGACAAAGAACTAACTACGAAAAATTACCAACCTTCTAATTGTAGTTTGCTGACATTTCTTTATCCCTCCCTTTATTTTAATGTCTTTTTTTGGCTTTAAGTATACCATCATATATTTGGATTAAACTTTTCACAAACTGATAGAATTAATTTATTCATTTAAGTTACTATCCGACACATTCTTGGATGCATCAGTATGCAGAAGCTTAACTATTTCTAATGCAGACTCTCTTCTTACCTGCCACACAGCAGGAGGAAGGAATTCCTTTGATGCTAGGAAATTTAACCTGGGGCAAGGACAGACGGAGGAGGAAATCATTCCAAGTGTTTGGGGTATGACACTGGTCTAACCTTGTAGAATTAGTACTTTTCTGTTTCATCATGGTGGAAAAATACGGAGGTTCCCATGTTGCATTTAGCATGTGAAGTTGCTAGATTGTGGGGCTGTGTCAGCAAGTATATGTGTCACTGGGAACCGTTGTGGTGATCGGACCCTGGGCTATGTTGCAAATGAGACCCTTGACTCTTTGCCTCTGGGTGAAACTCAGAGTTTTTAAGAAAGGGAAGCTCTGGGTTCACTTCTTTCTTCTCTGGAAGCAGGGGTCACTGTGAATTATCCTGCCACATTATAGGACGAGCTATGGGAACTTCATATGCAGCCAACAGAATTCTATCCAGTCTTTAGCATGAGCACAAGCTTGGCCAAAGTCTTTCAAAATCTTGGCCTCTCTGCTAAAGCCTTCTATACCTCTGTTCTGTGGGATATCCCAAATCTGGTTTTTCCTTCCATTATGCCAAATTCCCATGCTACACCAGTAATGATGCTCAGTTTTGAAGTCTGTTTGTATATCTTCACCCAAAATGGGTACCATGAAGGAAGACTGGGTTTTAGCAGTCATTAGTATAGATGTGGTCTGATTTTCCAGGAAAGAGAAGTTGTAGAAGTTTGAGAGTGTGAAATGGGTAAATCGAGCCGTGAAAATTGAAGTGGGACGAGGCCCATAGGATGAGGTCTGGTAAATAGAACGTGTATAAAGAAGAGTCCTCAGTATTTGGAGATCAAAGAAAAACTGTAGAAAGTATTTTAATGATACTGGTAATAATATTTAGCCTATAAGTAGTAATGCTTATTAAATTTAAGATATAGTTTTAAAAAAAGATATCGTAAACATCCTCACGTAAATGCTGAACAAATCATTCACATTATGTATTTAGGTGAAGGCAAGAAAGGAAATTTGAAAAAAAATGATAAAGATCACAAGCTGATTCAGATTTAGCAACAAGATGGGAGGCTGAAGTAGAAAAATTTATATACATCTTATTTTACTATTTTAAAAATACTTTCCAGGTCCTTTTTTCTCTATTTCTGCCAACACAATCCAACTCTATGGGCCTGCGTTTCTTACAAGGCTAACTAATCAAATTCCAGAGACCAGATTTTTAAAATGTAAGTCTTCATAACTAACAGAATTACAGAAAAAGGAGGGAAAGTCCCCTCAAACCATAGCTGTAGAAGGAGAGAGAGCAGTCTGTACCACAAAACTAACATAAAGAATTGATTTGACAGTATTAAATTGAGAAATTTCATAAGAAGATGAGTCTCATAAAATATGGAGACGTGTCTGTTTGTAACCATTACCAATTTGTTCTGTTCTCTGTAATATAAACTTGTCCTTAAAAGAGTTATTTGAAGGGGTGTTGCAATAACTCCCACATTCGAAATTATTGCCATTTCTTATGAAGACAATTTCTTCAGAAACTTAATTCTGATTGATTGTCTTGATCATTTGGGGGCCTGGCCATAATATTTTAAGTGACATTTGGATCCTTAAACTATACAGATGCTTGTAAGATTTTATATTGAATCAGAAGAAGATCCTTGGCATTCTGATTTCCTCATATGCAAGTGGATAATAAAATGACCATAGATTTCCTATTTAAGTAAAGAGTTTGAGAGTCTTGTCTCACTTAAATTTATTCCAGCTATTTTGTAATGGGAAAAAAAGATATTCATAGAGAGAAACAAATGGCTTCGGCATATAAATTTTTTAAGGTGTATGAAAATTCTTAGTAGAAGAACACTAAATAAGATGTGAATAAATGGGTATAAGTCTTTGTTCTCCCCAAATTAATCTGCAACTTCAACATATTTCTAATTAGAACTTCCAATGAACTTGGGAAGGGAGTGGAGGAACCTTCTTGAGTTAATTTTAAAATTCACCCCCAGCGAATCATCAGTCTGGTGCTACTTCTGAGCTCTCCTTTATCTTCTGCTATTTTCTTGTAAAAGAAAAACTAATATATAGACAAGCAAAGACACTGTGTGATCAAAGTGGTGATTGAAATCATAATGTAACAGTGTAAGGAATATTTTTAAAATTCTCACCTCACATATACACAAATAGGCAAAACTCACAGGGTTTTGGATGTAAATATTAAAAATGATAAGGTACTTCAAATATTCTAGCATCAAATATAGAAGAATATTTTTAAAATCTTCAGCTAGAAGCTGTTGTAAATATGATAGGAAACCAAAGAACTAGAGAGAAAAAAGTTAACAAATTTGATTCCTAAAAATGTATAACTTCTCTAGGACAAAATATTCCATTAACAAACCTAAAAGAAAAACAACAAATGGGACAAAATGTTAGGAACATATAGAATCAAGATTTAATGTACATGTATATCATATAAAGATTTCTATATTCATTCAGCATGGTAAGAAAAATACAAACACCACAACATGACTGAGCATTCTATGACAGAGTTCTATGAAGAAGAAAAACCAATGACCAATAACAAATGGAAAATACTCAACCACACTAAAAATGAAAATAGTGCATGTTAAAGCATCCCTTAAAAAGACTTTTTGTAGTTCAATTTAAAATGTTAAATATTTTAATTTTCTAGGTATGATATAATAATTTTAAGAGAGAAAGTATGCATAGAATTATCCTATTTAGATAAATAAAACTACATTGCAAAATGTGTTAACACATGCATAGAAAAATTCTGGAAAGATATATAACAGTGTTCATAAGAAACATATTTTAAAATCAGCATAAAAAGCAATGTGAAGATATGAACATTTTGAAAAACTAGTTACTTTAAAAGGCATTAATTTTTTGTCTTATTAAAGGTATAGAAAATAATAATAAACTTTAGCATTAAAAAATAGTTGGTTTGTAACATGAAAATCGAGTAAATTCTTATGCACTCTTACTTCTTTTCTCACTGTGTTTTCCCAAAGTAGAATTGCTTCCAGTATCCGTGGTATCTAGAAAGTAACAGGTGGTGGTCAGAAACTAAAAATTTTGAAACTGTAAAAAACTGTAAAACTTTGAAAACTCTCTTCACTACTTATGTGCATCAGTTTCCTCATTTATGAAACAGGGATAATAACAGTTACGCTGTTCAGGTTTTAAATTTCTTATGAAGATTAAATGAGATCTTAGTTGCAAAAGCTAATGAGAAATCATTGTATAAATCAGTAACATGCCAGAGAGCATCCTTCAAAACTATATGGTGAGTTCATGAATAGTTGTCTGAGGTCTTTTATTCCTGTCAGGGCAAAGGACCGTTTATTTGTCTTTTGAGGCCTTTCCAAGGTTTTGACAAAGTGACACTATTATCTACCGGCAGAAGAGCACTTTTATTTCTTTGCTCCACGGTACTGCCATTTTTACCAGTGTATTTCAACGACATCATCCATGTATAATCAACAGGACCCATTCTGTTAAACAGAATTCTTTTCTCCCTGCAGTTCCCCAATGGGTCAGTTCAAGCAAATGAAGAGGGGAATGGGATTCTGACATAGACTGGATGTACTCCTTGTCAAAGTATGCTTAGAGTCAAGTGCATCAGGAACTGGAGCTCTGATTTCAGACTCCTGAAATCCTGCAGCACAGGCCCTGTGACCTTCACCTTCCATAACTGGCCCGCCCCCTGTTGTGAGCTGGTAGGAGTTCTCCTTGAACACCGATCACTTACCACATCTCCCCCAGGGTCTGTAGTGTCTGCTGAACCACCTCTACCCTGACCTTGGGTGTCCTTACCCACCATGTCAATGCTTGGCTACTTTCAGTCCTTGCTTCTTGACTTCTAGACACACTTTTTGAAAAACACATGACACGGGAACATTTCTCAAGTCCTTGGAGCTCTGTTCCTAAGTTATGATTTGTAAAGAATTTTCATTTGCACCCCTCCCCTCACTTCTGACCAGCCACCTTTCACGGACTCCTACATCACAGCGTGACCCTACCTCTGAGGTCGCTTTCTCTTTTGTTGCTTCTCACTGTCCTTGTCCCTTCCTTTTAATCTGCCTTTTCTCTTTTCCTCTTTGCCCAAAATAGGTATCTTTGTTTTACTATTTTTTCTTTATATGCTTTTCCCATCCATCCATCCATTAATGACGTTTTTATATACATTTGTACTTACTTTTATGTGACATTATTCTTTTCCAGGAATATTATTTATTACATTTATACGTATATACATAATTCAATTATTAAAATAATTTTTATAGATATTCTCATGTAAATACTATAAGAAACTAATTTTTAGGAGACAAATTCCAAATGTTGGAATACGGAAAGTGGAGAATGTTAGGACACAGATTGTACAGGATACTCTGGGGATGCAGAAGGCAGGAGGAACTCGCAGAGTTTGAGATGAGGGACCTCTTCTGGAGGAGGTATCGTGGAAGCAGTAGTTAACCAGATTAGGGAGAAAGGTGACTAAGATGATAGTCCCAGATGGATGGAGAAGCATGTGCAAAGGTCTGGATTCAGCAAATACAAGTAACCAAAAGGAGTTTAGTGTGTCTGAACACAGAGTGAGAGAATGAGAGGGAATGGTGAGAATGGAGAAAGAAGCAGGAGCCTCAGGTATGGAGCTTTGGAGATCACATGAAGAAGAATTAAATTATTCCTAAAGAAAATTAAATGATATTTGGCTATTATGTAGGAAATCAGCATGAACATAATTGCATTTTTGAAAGATCAATTTAGCTAAATCACTTAGAATGTGCTTGGTGGGAACAGTATGAGAAGGAGGACAAGTAAGGAGCCTGTAGACCTAGTTCAAGTGAGAAGTGATATAGATATGGACGAGAGTGCTGGCATGGAGATGGAAATAAATGGACAGGGTGGAGACATATAAAAGGAATAATTGATAGAGTTAGGTGACAGATGGGGTACATCAACTGAGGAGATGGCTGTGTCATGGATGACTCTGAGAGTTTCAACTTGAAAGAATGAGTCAGTTAATAAGTGGTTTAGAGATAGCAAACACTGGAGGAGTAGATGCTTTCTTTAGGGGGCAAGATGATGTGCTCAGTTTAAAAAGTGTTGAGTCTGAGAGACATCTAAGTGGAGAAGTCTAGAACCTTCAGGACCTTAGCCAGAGGTCTTTCTGACACTTGGATAATTGAGTTTGGAAGCTTAGAAGGCAGAGCTGGGCTGGAAATGTGTGTCTAGGAACCATTAGATTGTAGATGGTGATTGAAACCCTAAGAGTACATGAAAGCCCTTTGGTGAGGTACCTTGTAATCTGGGTGAGTTACAGGAGCCACTTTGATACCTGGGGACACCTTACCCTGAAAACTCACTGCTAGTGTGAACCACCCCTTGTGCCAATGTTGCTTTTGTCTCATGGTCATCTCAGATCCCACAATTTCTCCATCTCTCTCCTTTCTTTCTTTTACACTGCCCTTTTCTCTCTCTACCACTTTTCTCTCATCTTTTAACCCTTTATCTATGCAGTTATCTCTGCCTCATCTTTATTCCTCTCCATTGATTGCTTCCTGTATGTATCTCATTTTGTCTAGTTCTTTATGCTTCTGTCTCTGGATCTAGTTTTACCGTTGAAGCACTCCTCTTTATATTGTCACATCACTTTCTGTTTTCTTTTTGCTTCAGTTTGTTTCTCTTAATCTTATCTTGATCTTTTGGCTTAAAAAAATTACAATCTTTGTGTTTATCTATATTTTCTTCAACCACATTTGGCTTCATCTCACAGTTTACCACTTTCATTGTCACCATCTGCCTGCTTTTTTGACACTGACCACACTATTGACTATTATTACTTCTGCCAGTTCTCTATGAGCTTTCTACATCATAGGACTGTCCATCAGTCACAGACTTTATTATCATGTTTCTGGTGAACTTCCTAGAGGTATCTTGAAAATTATCCATCTTCCTCTACAAAACTTCCCAATCTCGTGATATTTGGATCTCATGTCCACTTAGGAAAACTTGACACTTACTCAGATATCTTTTAATTTGAAGAAACTTACTCAGATATCTTTTCAGCCTAATTTTTCAATTATTTCTCCTTGCATTATCCACTTAGCCTCACCTCCCTCCACCCAGAAGCTGAGCTCTTCTTTCTCTTTTGGCTCCTTCAAACCTGTTGAAAACAGTCCAAATCTGTGCACAGGCCTGTCTGTATATGAGTATGTGTATTGGTGTGTGCATGTATGGCAATGTTTTGGGGGAGAGATAGGTAAAGAAGGAAGAGCTTTTCCTCTGTGCAGAAAGTAAAACAAAGATAACTGAGAACTAGTATCACAATTGGCTTTTCTATCACATGCTAATAGATTGGCATCTCTTCTGAGTCTCTTCCTCTATTTATTTTTAGAGCTTTGAATCCACAGGACATTGAAGGGAAATAAGGAAACAGCAGACTGTAGATGGCGACCAGGAAACAGACTTTGATGTGGTCATGCTGATCTATGTTCGAAGCTCAGATGGGCTGAAGAAAAATGCACCTGTCCAATGACTACACCTCATATCCAACAGAGATTTTCTCTGTCTCTTTCAATCTAGCCACACCTTCTCCTCCTCCTTTTCTTCAATTTTCTGCCCATCTGTGAACTTCTCTGTCCCTGATTTCTCTTAACTTCTGTGTTGATTTCTCTCATTTCATCAGTTATACTCTTAATATCTGTTCTTTTTTATTTCTCTGTTCATCCTTTTTGGCATTATCCTTCTAGGTGTTCTGTATATCATACAACTTGTTCCATTCCTACCCTCTCTGTTTCTTTATGGTTTTTGCTTTTTCCCTCTCAATCTGAATATATATTTCAAAATCCACACCAATACTGGTGATTATATACCTACCAATATATATACATATATATGTATATATGTATGTATATGTATACACACACACACACACACACACACACATATATATATATACACATATGTATTTATTATTGTTGCTAAATAAGTCTTCTTGCATCAGGCACTGATACATTCCCCTGTGAATATGCCAGGTCCCTCATATCCCCTCTTTGGTCTCTGATCATGTGACACAGCTCTTATCTTCCTGCCGGTTACATAAAATAGTCACCCTTTTTTACCCTTATACATTTGTACATCTATTTCCTCATCCTAAAATGAGGAAGCAAGAGTTAGCCTTCCTAAGACTTAAAGATTTTGTGATAACAGAGTAAGATCTTATTTGCCAAAGGAATTTAAAATATCATGGTACAATCAAATTACAATGTGATGAATATCTGTCACAAACTATACTAAAGTTTGAGAATGGTTGATCTGAAGCTTTTATTTCTGTCTATAATTACACAGAAGGACCAGTTGTCTTTTGAGGCTTTTACGATTACAAATGACATTAATGTCAACCGTATATCACTATAGAAATCTAGGATCTTAGCGTTAGCAGGCATGACAGTAAGTGTTTAAAAAGAGACCATCATTTTGGTGATTATTTCTGCTAAGATAGGAATATAAAATTACATACATTTAGTGAATATGAGTCATTCTATTAAACATGAATTTATAATAATTTCCTGCCTCTTTCCATTTTCTAAAATCCGAAAAGTAGTTCCCAGGATTAACTGGATACAAGGTAGTCAAGGTCTCAGAATAAAATGCAACAGGAAACAGTGTCTTTTCATTCCTGACATTCTGCAGGCCAAGGCTTGGCATCCTAATCTTCTTTACCTGACCCATTTCTCAGGACTGAGCTAGACGTTTCCTGAAGCTCATCTTCGTTACTCAGTTCTGAAGTGTCACCACTGCTGATCCCTGCAGAAAGAAGTAAAATTCCTTTACAGTCTCAGCCTGTGTCCTAGGACCTATACAGCATGGAGTCCTTTAAAAGGAAATCTGGAAAGGGGAAGCTTATGTAGAAGAGGTAGGAATATTCCTACCACCAGGCCCCCTACGGCTCCATCTGACCTCCTGGTCAAGGTTGCTCCAGGGACCACCCCCAAGGCCGGGACTGGACACAACTTTGCCATGGAAGGCACTCGCTTTGGTCACTATTCTTTACCCTTTCCTCTTGTCTGCACATACTTCTGCTTCCACTTTGTTTCTTATCCAGGGGGACCATGGAAGCAACATTTTCAAGATGTCAGAGCCTCCATCAGCTGGGCCCTCAGTGAGCACCCCTCCACCCTGGGAACCACTTTATCCTTTTATGTGAGTGAAGAATAAACCTGTACTGCACTTGTGACACTGAACTTCTTGAGGCCTACAAGTAACATCAATTAGCCCAGCTCACCTAATTCAACATGTATAATGTGAATCATCTAAAATGCCAACAAAGTTATCATTTTATTTTAAAGGATATTACCAAAAATTTGAATGAAGCTTTTGTAGCAAAGAAAGATATTTGTTACAGCAAGAGTTTTGATTGTTCTTACGTCTTTTCCTGTTGCTTATGCTGCAAATTGATATGTTTTCAATATCCCAAGGATCTAGGAAGGAAAGGAAAATACAACCAGTAATCTATATCTAAAAGAGTAGTAAATCTTATGACTACTCACACTGTAGACAGGATTTGGACTATAAAGACACAATGATGATCATTTCTGTCTCTTCCTGTCTAAAGGAAGTGAGCTCTACCAAATGGAGCAAAGGCCCCCCCCAGTCCTTTAGCCCTAATTACAAAGTCAAAGAAGTTTTGAAAGCCAATATTTTTTCACAGGTTTGTACTAACTAGTTTGGCAATGAATCTGGACTTCAGCTGCCATGAGTCCAATAAAATATTTATCACAGTTGTTGTGAATTCGCACCATTTGCTGCAGGAACACTGATACAGTATATTGGAGAATGAGATTCTGTCCCAGACCCTACTGGAGTGTTTTATAACAAATAGGATATACACCACACTGTCTTTCTAAAATAATAAAACATTATATCTTACATCTGGCTTTAAAGATTTTGAATAAACGATTATGAATTTTTGCTAAGAGTCCAGGTTGTTAGTTCTGACTCTTCCAATAATTGTCCATATGTGATGTGTAAAGATCCTTAAATGTTTATGTGCTGGAGTTTCCTCATCTGTGAAATGAGGGAACAACAGTTTTCTGACCTACCTTTTAGGTTGTTGTAAACATAAAATGATACCTTATTTGTGAAGATGTTTTCAAATATCACTATACACGCCAATGTCATGTTGCAGGTAACGCTGGGTTCCTACCTGGCTCTGCCTTTTACTCTCCATAAAAGACCCTCAAACATTACCAACTCCAGTTTCCTCATCTATAAACCTGGGATAACCTGGTTACCCTAACTCCCTGTTAAGGTTTTTGTAAAAACAAAGGGAAGCTTTATTTATAAAAACCCTATGAGAAATCACCATGTAAGCCAATGATTTAGCTATAATTGGGGTTTGAGAGTATTTGGTCTTAAGCTATTTTTCCATCAATAATTTAATAGAAGCACAAATTATTCTGTGAAGTCTTTCTAAGTTGGGGACTAATGACAATATTGACAACAAATAGAGGAATGCTGTGCTTAGTGCTCCATAGAATAAAAGCATGCTGAGCAAGAAGTACACTGTTTCCACTCTTTAGCATGAATAGATACGATAGTGTGTAGTAAAAGGCATAATTTTACTAGCATATTTTTGCTACATCTTCAATATATCAATTGACTGGGCTCATCCAGTTAAACAACAGTTTATATACAATGCCTTCTTGCCTCCTTCCACTTCCCAACAGGGCCAGAAAAGTTAAATGTGGAAAATGATATCCTAGAAGGAATCAAATCAAGGCATGTGGAGAATGCTCAGAATAAGATTCACCAGGAAAACAGAGCTCTGGGTTTACACTCGGGATATTTGCTGTCCATGGCTGCAATCCTTATCGTCCTACATGAGCCATCTGGGATCATGAGCAGGTGGCTTCTCTGGCCCCTCCTCCCTCACTTGGTTCTAAAAAGTCAAGGTTATTGGTCACCGCACAAAGGAACAGGATTCTCGAGGGGTTTGGGCATGTGACCAAGGAACCCATTCAGCAGGAATTTCCCTCATGAGAAAACTTGCAGAAGTCTTGAAAAGCCATGTGAGGCATGGCCCGCACCCAGGCCACCCTGGGCTGCCTTTCTAAGTCATCTGCTGTGTAGATTAGTGATGTTCCATTCCCTGTTCCCAGAGCAGAGACAATTCAAATGCAAGGGGCAACTTTGCTCTGCTTGAACCTTACCGTCCTTCCCTTCTCTCTCTTCTACTTCTGACTCCTTCTGTTGTCTTTGCAAGCTTCCTTCATCTGCTGTTTCTCATGTAGGGTACCTCGGAGACCTTGTGTTCAGGGCCTTGTGTGAGCCTACTCTCCTCACCTCCTCCCACCCCCTGCCAACCTGGTGCCCTCCTGAACTATTTGCAAGCCTGGGAAATCATTTTCTCATGTGTCTGAGCCGTAGATGTGTTTTAGGACTACCTTCTAGAGCAGTCTTCCTACTAGTACTAAGACAAAGGTGTTCCCTAAAAACTGCAACAGATCTACATTTTACTTTGATAGATCTAGTGAGCAATTAGATTGAGTGTATTATTTAAAATATTGCTCTTTTTTTTTTTTTTTTTTTTTTGCGGTACGCGGGCCTCTCACTGTTGTGCCCTCTCCCGTTGCGGAGCACAGGCTCCGGACGTGCAGGCTCAGGGGCCATGGCTCACAGGCCCAGCCGCTCCGTGGCATGTGGGATCTTCCCGGACCGGGGCACGAACCCGTGTCCCCTGCATCGGCAGGCGGACTCTCAACCACTGCGCCACCAGGGAAGCCCAATATTGCTCTTTTGTAGCACCAAGATCAGGTAACATTTTATTTCTTCTTAGGACTGTTCCTAGCGTGTTTCCATAAATAGGTATGTTTCTGATATTGTCTAGGTCTGAAAAGTAGAAAGGGACAAAAATTTACCAACTGTACACTACAGAGACACAGATCTTATGGCAACTCAGGCTACCCATAGGATTGAGGAAATAACATTTTGATAATCATTTCGAGCTTCAATTTGACAAGAAAATAATGCAGAATCCAGGACGCTAGCCTTGTTATTCCCTTCAGTCTCCCATGAGACTTTGTAGAGAACTTGAAACATTTATGTGATTGTGTTTCCTCATCTAGAAGCAAGGGTTACAATGTCCATCCTGCTTAGCCCTTAAAGTTGTCGTAAGATATTGTTTGCAAAGGTCCTTTGAAAAATCACTGTATATGCCATGGCTTGTTGAAGAATTCTGTCAAAAACAATCCTTTGGGTTTCAGAATGCCTTATATGAAGTCTTTATTTCTGCTAACACTAGGTAGCTGGACAAGTTATGACATGATTCAAGTTTGTGATCAGATGATAATATGACCTTCCAGTAAAGGAATACAGCCCACCCTTGAACAATATGGGTTTGAACTGCACAGGTCCACTTAAACTCAGATTTTTTCCATACTAAATACTACAGCAGGACTTCCCTGGTGGCACAGTGGTGGAGAATCTGCCTGCCAATGCAGGGGACAAGGGTTCGATCCCTGGTCTGGGAAGATCCCACATGCTGCAGAGCAACTAAGCCCGTGTGCCACAACTACTGAGCCTGCGCACCACAACTAGTGAAGCCCACGCGCCTAGAGCCCGTGCTCCACAACTAGAGAAAGCCCCTGCTCAGCAACGAAGACCCAACACACCCAAAAAAAAAAAAAGAAAGAAAGAAGAAAAAGAAATTAAATACTATAGCACTAAACGATCCACAGTTGGTGGAATTCATGGATGCCACCTGCGTGTATGGAGGGCTGACTCTTAAGTTATAGGCAGATTTTTGACTGCACTGGAGGTTGGCGCCCTTAACCCACGCATTGCCAACCGTATTTAGCTTTCTGTTCTTTGCAGAAATCACTGCATAAATCCACCACTTCATAGGCATAGCAACTAGTAGGGGTTTTTTTTTGGCTGCGCGCAGGCTTTCTCTAGTTGCGACGAGTGGGGGCTACTCTTTGTTGCGGTGCACGGGCCTCTCATCGCGGTGACTTCTCTTGCTGTGGAGCACGGGATCTAGGCACACGGGCTCAGTAGTTGTGGCACATGGGCTCAGTAGTTGTGGCATGCGGGCTCTAGAGCGCAGGCTCAGCAGCTGTGGCGCACGGGCTTAGTTACTCCGCGGCATGTGGGATCTTCCCAGACCAGGGCTCGAACCCATGTCCCCTGAATTGGCAGGCGGATTCTTAACCACTGTGCCACCAGGGAAGCCCACAGCTAGTAGTTTTAAACACACTCATTACTTTGCTGGCCTATTTCTACTATATAATCAATATAGGGTACATATATTTATTAATGGGACCCTATAGTTAATAGGCCTCATCCCCAGATATAGATTTCACATCTCTCTGCATTTCCCATAAAAGTCCAGGAAAAAAAGACAGAGAATAGGATTCCAGAGTAAACTGGCACCACGCTACAGAAGGGGCTCAGAATAAGATGCTCAGGAAACAGTGACTCTAGTTCAGGTTCCTGCAGCCTAGGCCTTGCTCTCCCACTTCCTTACCAGACGCCGTTCTCAGTGCTGATGTGGAGGGCTCTGGGGACACGTCTCCATCGCTGGATTCTGCGGAGTCCTCACTGCTGATCACTGCACAGGGGAACAAAACCACTTAGGATCTCAGGGCGGAGCCCACACCGCAGGAAACCTCAGAATGAGAGCACTAGGAAGGTCGAGAAGCTAAGTTAACTCAAGGCACCGTGACCTGTGCTTGAATGTGTGTGACCTGCAGGTTTCTCCAGGCCCTGCACAAAACATGATGATATTCACAGAGGGCAGCTTTGCCCATTCTGCCAACACTCTTCTTCCCTCACCCTCAATCTACCTCTGACCCTCTACTTCATTCTACCTCTTTCTTTCATTCTTATTTTATTTCTTTACCTTCCTCTTGGCTTGGCCAGTTTTCCCTACTTATGCCTCTCTTTCTGGGGGTGGTATCTCTTTATACCTCGCTTTGTCTTCATGTGTTTCTTTTCCATCTCCTCTCTTGAATACCTTGGGTCTCTGATTTTTTTCCCTTTTCTTTATCTTGTACCCCCATACTTTCCTCTCTTGCTTTAGAAATTGTCTCTTGGACATCAGTACTTATTATTTACCCCTTTTGTCTTTTGATATTTTTCCAGTTCCTGGGGAATCTCTTCTGCTAAACTCACTGCACAGGGCACTGGTTCCCTCCCCTTCCTGCCTCTGTCCGTGGCCACCAGCCTCTGACCTGCCTCAGCCTCTTGCCCTGTTCCTGTGATTCCTGCTCCACATTGTGTCAGCCTTACCTATTACATCAGGTGCCTGGTTACAGTCAGTCCTTGCTTGGGTTTGCCATTCAACTTCGGGGTTAAAAAATGGCTTTTCCTTCTTTATATCCACCAGAAGGACAGAACAGGAATTGATTTGAAATCCATGGTTGGGTAGATTTGCATCTGGATCAAATTGTAATGAATGAAGAATTTTAATTTGTCACTCCAAAAGGTAGCAAGCACTGTTCATTAGCATTAACAGCCTTCTCCTTGTAATTCCACTGCAGGAGGGAGGCTTCACCCCGACCCTTCTCCTTGCTGCTGTTCAACTCTGTCCCTGTCTTTGTGTCTCTCTCAATTCTCAGGTTTGTTTTTACTTTCTTTTCACTTACTTTTCTCATCTTTTGATGATTTTTCGCTTTTCAAAAATAAAAATCACAATTTCAGTATAACCCATAGATAAAAATGCATAAATCATAAATTTTGAATTATCACAGAACAAGCATATCTGGGTAACCATCACTTTGGTCAAGTAATAGGAGATTACTAACACTCCAGAAACCTCTTAGAGATGCCCCACTAACTGTCCAGATGTATCTTGCTCAAGTTAACCACCACTTTGACACTTTTAATACCACAGATGATTGATTTTACTAGTTCAAAATTTATACAAATTTATATAAGTGGAATCATTCACTCTTGCTCTCTCTCTCTGTCCCTCTGACTTTTCAGGGGCAGGGGTGGATTTGGCTTCTTTAGTCAACATGTGTGTGATAGTCATCTGTATCCATTTCGTATATTTATCTTCACCACTATATAATATTCCTTTATAGAAATTATCCATTAAAAAATAAAACCATAAAATATCCATTTTTGCTGGCTCAAGCTTTAGAATACTATGAATGATGCTATGATGAACACTCTTTTGTGTGTGTTTTGATGGAGATAACATGCATTTCCGTTGATCTGTTGAGGAATGTAACTGCTGAGTCATAGGCTATGTGTAACGTTAGGATTGACAGAAGTGACAAAACCATGGTTGGCTTAATCCACTAAGTTTTGGGACTATTTTTTTATACAGCAGTAAATAACTGATACCACTTCCAAATAGAGATGTCCATCAGATCTTTGAATACAGATCTTCAAGCACTTGGAGGAATGAGTCTAGAGATCAGGTGTGGCTGGAGATGTACATTTAGGAATCAATAGATGATGGATGGTACTGAAACCATGGGGAGGGTGAGATGCCTGAGGAGAGGCCTATTTTTATCTGAGGGGTTTACAGGGCTATTCTGATCATTGCAAATACCTTAACCTTCTCAATGGTATTAGGAACAGTCCCTTGTGTCTTCTTTTTTGATGACTGTCTCCTCAAATGGGGCAATGTCTTGATTTGTCTCCTCTCTCTGTTTGGCCCACTCTTTACCAATTTTTAATTAATTGTCCTTTAAGTTATTCTCTTTGTGCCTCTCCTACCCCCATTTTTCTATTTATTGGTATTCTTTTTCATCTGTATCTTTCTCTATTCATCTCTTTTCCTCTACATTTGTAATCACTGTCCCCAGGGTCCAGCAGGGTCTAGGACCAGGCAAAGGAGGTGCCTAGGGCACACCAAGGTGCCAAGGGTAAGATAACCCTTATATGTGCCCCAGGGTCTCACCCTAGACCTGACCCTGCTGTCCCGTACCTGCTTTTTCAATGTATCCATTCTCTGTTACGTTTCCTACTTTCTCCTACTCTATCCCTGTTTCTTAATTATAATTATGACCTGCGTATGTCTCCTCTATATCAATTTTGTCTTTCTATATATTTTCCTCATTTAAGCATTCAAATCATCACCAAAGTTCTCCCTGTGTGCCATTGTCCAACAAACCACATCCCTCTACCTGCCACTTCCTTCTAAAAGGCCCTTCACCTGGGCTTCCTTACTTGCAAATCTGACCTGCAACATCTTACATGATTTACATGTTTCTGTTATAACCTCTGAAAAGGAAGTTGCAACTTATTTCTTTTCATCAACTCCACAACATGGCATTATTTTGATTCCATGTCAATTTATCTAAAATCTATCTCACTCTTGTACTTTGTTATTTGGTGCTCCACAGTCCACCTTTTCCTATTCTTCCTCTTTGCATTCTCTTCTCAGGGACACCCCATCCACTAAAGAGCTCAGCTCTCCTTCTCCCTTGCAACTTACACCTGCTAAAATCAGCCAGAGGTTGTGGAGAAGGCTGTGTGTCTTGGACAGTGTTAGGATTGGGAAGGGGTATATTAGTATGGGAGAACAAAGGAGAGCATTTACTCTCATAGAAAAACAAAGATGCAATTAGAAAATTGGTAAGTAATTACTTTCTTCCTCATAAGGCAATGGGCTGGGTGTCTCTTTTCTTGCATCACCATTATATGATTGGATAGGTACTTGTTCGCAGGACTCTGAAGATAAAAAAGACCACAGAGACTTGCTTTGCCCTGTTTCCATTTTCTTGCATTTCATCTGACTTCTCTTTCCTTCTTATGTTTCTACTTATAGCCTGTCTGCATATATTGCCACCTTCACCCCGTGAAAGTGCCATGTTTCATTGATTCTGGAGCCGATCTCTCCCTGACTTGTTCGACTTTTGTTTCTGTCTCTCTTCCCTGGTGGGGCTCTGCAACTCTTCGCCTTCTGTCTCTTAGTTTTTCCTTTCTCACTTTCTTCCTCCAGGTCTCTCCCATCAATATATCAGGCCCCATTCCTGCCCTCTGTGTATCTGTGTGATTTTCCCCTTCTTTGTTAATAGATGTCTCCTTGAGTGGTGCATTACTTCCTTCTCTGCCACTAGTCAGGACCTCTTGGCCATTCCACACTCACACAAACCCAGCCAGTCTTACCTGCTGGTTCAGACTCTTGGGCACATTGTTCATTTGCTTGTTGGCTTTCTAGTGCATCGTTTTGGTCACTGGTTGTATCTTTCCTCTTTGCATTTATCTGTTCTGTTTCACAGAGCTGATCCGAGAGTGCATTTTCAGGTGAGGTCGTACCTAAATCATGTTTTGATTCATCATACTTTGTTTTCCTCTGGCATCAATCAGCGTCCAACAGGAAAATACAAACCACTTTAAGCTTTTAAAGCAGAGGAAATTTAATCCAGGGATTGGTTACTTGGTGAATGGAAGAGCAGAGAAGATCAAGTGGAAGAATGCAGCAACCTGAAGCACAGTCAACAGAAAGCTATGGGAGGGACGGAGGGTGGGCTCATGGGCTGAGGTCACGGAGTAGGCAGAAGCTGGACCGTGGCTGGCCTGCCTGGTGGAAGGTGGAGTCAAGGCTGTGATGCAGCCACTCCTAGAATTGCTACTGGAGATAGTGGTGGGGCAACACCTGGCTTCTCCCTTATTCCCACTCTCTTGCTAGTGTCTCCCACATTAGGAACCCAGCGGGGAGCCAGCAGCAAGGGGAGCTGGCAAGCAAGTCCACAGGGGCAAGTGGCCAGAGAGAGAGGGCAGAGAAGAGCAGGGGAGGGTAAGGAATGAGGCCCTGGGTAAACCACCCAGGACCAGCACACACACCCTTCCCCCATGGCAAACCTTCTCTGCTCATTATTGATTCCATCGGCCCATCCCACTCTGTTCCCACCGGCCTCAATAATGTATGAATACATAGACATATTTTTCAGTGCAGTGTGGATTTTTCTCATTTAGTGCTTTTCTAAACAAAGTAATTTACGTAAAGCATGATTTAAAATTATTTCCCAAGGTTTTAATATAGAACGTGGGCCCTGGTGCATGCTTTGTGCCACATCCTGGTGGGCATGAGACACAGCCCTTCCTGTCCCTGTGCATGTCACAGCCCGCCGTACTTGTTGGGTCACACTCTTGGACACACTTATTGGTGGCCTGTTGTGTATCATTTGGGTCCTAGGTTGAAGTTTCTCTCTTTATATTCATTGCTCGCCATCACTGAGACGCTCTGGGATTCCACTTCCTGGCAGGGTTGCCCCCAGACCACACTGTGAGTTTTAAAGAATTTCATTGCCTCCTCCCTCCACTCCCCCCCCACCCCCCGCCACACACACACATGTAGAATCCCTTCTCTCTGCTCCTTACTCGTCGCAGTTCCATCCACTCACCCCTTCCTGTTCCCACCAGCTGTACGAATAGATGAATGGCTAATATGTATTCATACATTTTGGGGTATTTTAAAATGTTAACTTTCTGGATAAGTGTGATTTGGTAAAAGTATAACTGTGTTTTCAGAAATCACTCTGAAAGTTTTTTCTTTTCTAAAAATGTATTACTAATTTAGAACATTCTTTCTTAAATAACACATCCCGACTGGAAGCTACATAATAAGAGCCTTTCATATTGTGGGAAGTTCCCTGAGACTCTTCTATGTTCCTTAATTCCTAAGGAGAGTCATGGAATAAAGATTTATAATTTATTATAGACTAGTGTGCTCTAAGCATGGGGAAACTATGACCCTCAATTTATCTTCCTGGGCCAGAAGTTGGTATTGCTTTTATCACTGCTTTTCCAGCCTGGGGAATCAGTAAATCCAACGGACATCTGTGAGAGAAGAAAATCCCAAAGTTTACTATAATGGTTAAAAGCTTAGACTCTGGCACCAGATACAAATAATGATGATAATTAAATGTAGTAATAATAACAAATGCATGGAACACTGATGAACCCCCAGGCATGATTGTGAATGCTTTACATGATATGACTTGTTTAAAATCCAGCACCCTCTGAAGTAGGTACTATTATCATGTCCTTTTTAAAGATGTTGAAACTGAGGGACAAAAAGAGGTAGTCACTTCCCTAAGATCGCGAGGTAGAATTTGAAGCTAGGCCATGGGCACCTGAATTCCTGCTGTGACACTATTCACAGCAGAGTTCAATCCCAATTCTCAGTTGGGTGAACTTGTGCAAATAACCAAACTCTCTAAGCTGATACTTTTTCCTCTGAAAAACAAGGGTAATATATACCTCATTTTCAGGTTTGAGGGAAGATTAAATAAACTGTTAGCTGCATCAGTATACAGTATACTGTGATCGGAAAAATCAAATCATTATGATTATGTTTTAGATTAACAATATATTTGTTTGTACCAGTATTTTTTACTCAGGATCAAACACGCGCTGAATACCTAGTCATTCTGGGTAATGCATTTTCATCATTGTTCCATTTCATAGCCTCATGACAGATAGGTATGATGATCCCTACATTACAAATGAGAACACTGAGACTCAGGGAAATAATAATATTTTAAATAATAACACTATTAAGAGTGTTATGGGCTAATGGAGGTCAAGCGCTGTAAGCCGTGGTTATTGGTTGCTAAAGTACCAAAGGTTTCTTTCGGACGCCTGCCTGGTGTTTGGAGGGAAGCTCCTGGCCTCTGCTCCAGGGATGGAGGGAGAGGGTTTGCACGGGAGGCAGTTGGTGTCCATGGCCCTGGGGGAGGGACCCGGCAGGGGAGGTCCCCTGTCCCCTGAGGAGCGCTCATCACCTGCTCCCCCGCCACTGTGGCCGCAGCACTGACCACTGCTGCACATGACATCAAAGCACTGAGGTCGCTGCCTGATCAAGCAGGACAGAGCAGAAAACTGTGAAGCCAGGCACCTGGGCAAAAGGTCCAGGCCCAGAGCCTTCAGGAACTGGCAGCAAGTGCGTTTAAGGAGCGTGGAAGGAGCCACCCTCCCAGGCAACTCAGAGTACGAAGACTCTGTTATCTAAATCCTCAGAGAAATTGCAGATGCAAAGACTGACAATTTTTTGATACAAAGCAGCAGCCACTCCACCCCCAGAACTATCCAGAATGGGACACAAGCAGCAAAGGATCATAGAACAGAGTCAAGAACAGACCATCGTAAGATGAGGACTCTCTGCAACACCAATTCCGGCCTTGACAGGAGTTTTCCCAAGTTCCTACGGGGGAAAATTAAAAGTTTATCTCAGATATTGAAGTATGGGCTGTGCCAACCTCCCCTAATCCCTTTTTTATAGATAAGAAGTTTAAGAGCCCCTGCAGATATCAATACAGAGACCATCTGGACCTGGTGGATCTCATCCAACTCTTGTAGTCAAACTCCAGTCCATAGACTGGAAGACAGGTCAGTGGCACCCTGGCTGAGAGTGCCTCGGCCAGGCCATCTCACTGGGTGACCTCCACCAGCCATTCAGTAACTAGTGATGGCTTATCTTGACTCCCACGGTCATAGTGAACTTGCCTTTGTCTCCAGAGCTGCCCCTGACTGGTGGCCTTCCCTTACTTCCTGCAAAGTTCTGCTGCCTCTTCCCCACTCCCTCTTACTCCACTCCCTCCCTGTGCAGGTCTTGTTGGCCTTTCCATGAGGATTCAGTGTCTGATTCTCCACTTTCTCCAGCCCTTGGGATTCTTTTTCAGTATCTTTCCCTATTTTTTTTTTTCATGGTTCTGTCTTTTCCATTAGGTTACCAGGTAGTATCCAGGGTTGCAAACACAGGCTCTGGGTTCAGAATGCCTGGGTCCATCACTGCTCATTGACCCCAGGACAACTATTTACATGGTCTATCTAGATTTCAGCTTCCTTATCTGCAAAATGGGCACATAAGTGATATCATCCAATGGCACTAATCCCACAGCTGCCAGAATAAACGTTCAATCAAGTGAGCTGTTAATAACTTGGCTGTTTTTGTTGTGTCCCTGACCCCTTTCTCCTTTCATTTCTTCTTTTTCTTCCTCTCTGTCTCTCAAATACCCACATCCTCTCCTCCACGTCTCTACCACTTCCTCGCTTCTGTCTCTGTATGACTGCCTTTCTCCTTGAACATTCCTGCTCTTGAACAATATCCCCCACGTTTAAATCAGTCCCTTCTTCTGCCGTCATCAAGGGTCTCCTCTTTGACATTGACCTTGGGCCCATAGTCCTTAGCCCTTCACACCTTTACACTGATCTTCTCCTACAGGAGTCTTTCTAAATCACAATTACTTCCAGGTAGTCATTCTCTTTAAATCTGGTTAGTGACACCCTGGGTTCCTCTTCCTTTGTCTTGGTATTTGGGCCAACAATCTCTTGTCACAGCTACTTCTCCAGGACTCAGCCTCTGGTTAGATGCTCATATAGACACCCCTCGCCACCTTCTCCATGGTCCTTCAACATTTCTTCCCTGATTCTCAGTGTTTGCTCAGGACTCGGACTCCCACCTCCCCTTCTCCTTTTCCTCTTAGCAGATGGGAATCGCTTTTGTATTTGTCTCAATCACCTTGCTCAAGGCTTAGTGGGAGAATAGGCCTCTCCTCCCTCTCTTCTTCATTGCTTTCTTCATGATTATTTTTCTCGTGGATTGCTGAAGAGAGGGACAGAGAAGAAGACAATTAGAGATCTCCGCCAGAGACCAGGAACATCATCTCAAAATTACAAATTTAGAAATTCCTAGCCCTCGGGTCACTCAGAGCTCAGCGGGTCCCAATCTTCATGGTAAAGTTCCCCCATCATCCTTGGACAGAAGAGAAGCCCCAGCAAGGGAACTGTCATGTTCCACACCCAGAACTGAGCCACTTGTATGTAAGGATAAAGGAGTCGTGGAAACATCCTGATCCTGTCAGTTACGTAAAATAATCCTCACATCGTGGGGAAAGCACATGTCAAGATAAATAAGGAAAGTGAAATGTGTTTGCTGAACTGTTCAAACTGCAAGGAAGAAGCAGAGAGATTTCCTCTGGAGAAGGGGTAGGATCCTAAAGAGATCCGTGTGCGTAAAAGGGAGAGCCCAAGAGCCAGAAGGATGGGACTAGGGACGTCCCTGGTGGTCCAGCGGTTAAGACTCTGAGCTCCCAATGCAGAGGGCCCAGGTTCCCATCCCTGGTCAGGGAGCTAGATCCGCGTGCCGCAACTAAGAACCTGCATTCTGCAACTAAAAGAGCCTGCATGCTGCCTCAAAGATCCAGTGTGCCACAACTAAGATCTGGTGCAGCCAAATAAATAAATAAATATTAAAAAGAAATAAAAATAAAGATGGGACTAGATAAGACGAGGGTTGGGCTTAATTGTGTTGGGGAGGATGAGCGGTTCCAAAAGAGACCAAGCAGAGGGGCTGACACGTGTGGTGGGGTTACTAGACAGGGTTCCCCTAGTGGTCCAGATCCCACACTCTGAAGCCGCAAGCAGGGAGTGCCTGTGGCAACACTGCAGGACGTCCCCACGACTCCTGGACCAGGGACCCAGGAGGCTGCCCCAACAAGGAGAGGCCAGGACACCAGCCCAGGGCCCCTGCAGCTAGGTGACCCAGCAAGCGTAGGAGGAAGGAAATAAACCAGGGAGCCTAGGGGGTGGGTCCCTGCCAGGAGTCCAGGGAGGAGACACCAGGGGAGGCAGTGGAGCCCGGGCTGCCCCAGAGCTGATGGCAGGAGCACCTCCTGGGACAGTGTCTTCGAGGGGGTGAGATGGACAGGACTGTGAGAGCCATGGCTGCTTTGTCTTCCCCAGGACATGGGCTTCAAGCCTCAGCAAAACCAGGCGGAAGGTGTGAGGAGAACAATGGCCCAAAGCCCAGAAGAGTTGAAGGAGGCCTGTGGGCAGGCGCTGGGGGCTTCAGCACATGAGATGGAGTTGGGGACCTGGCAATAGGAGAGATGTCACGCCCTGGTCAGAGTCCCCAGCCTCTAACTTTGGCCGCTGACCCAAGCTCTCAGGGACAGCAGAGTCCAGGAGGCGGCAGCAGCGGCCTCCCCCGGGGGCAGGTGGATGGCAGCAAGTGTAGGTGTGAGTCGCCCCAGCATTTAAAAAGTATAAATTATGCCTTCGCAAGAAAAAGTCAAGATTTAGTTTTGTATAGCACCAAAAACAGTTCCTGGAAGAGAAGAGCTTTTGTGATTATTTGAGGAGAAAAAGTGAAACACCATTTTTCCTTCAAGGGCAGATTTGATATTGAGTCAGCTTTCTTGCTCATTACTCTGGAAATCTGGTGAAAGTGGCCTTTCTTCTGTGTTACTAAGCCAACCCCGGGTTTAGGGCTTAAAATGACCTGCGGCTGGTAAATTACATGTGGACTGGGATCTATGGACTGTTCTCGGGTATTCCTTCAACGTGGTGATTCTTGTAACTCAGCTTGTCCCTCTAGGGGTCCCTAAAAGTTATGATTCTGGGGTTGTTGGGATACTGACTCCCACTGATCTGGTGTTGCCAAGCCAGGATAGATCCTGCACCCACAGCTAAGCTTGAGGTGGGTAGTAGTGAACTCAGTGGGCTGCTGTGTAGGCCGCTGCTGCCCTGCCATTTGTCCTTCTATCTAAATTGGATGCCCCTGTGGCTCTGGTTGTCCTGTGAGTCTAAATGCCTAGTTAAGCAGAGCTCCAGGTTGGTGTTGTACTGTAGCCATTATAACGTGAGCTTCAATAAGGCTCATGGTATGTGTTTTGTTAACTGTTATATCCCCACTACCCAGCACCATGTATGGCTCGTGGTATAAGCTCAATATATACTTGTTGAACAAAATTGGCCTTGAACATCAAAAGGTAGATAATAAGCTAATTACCTTTTACAAAGCTTTCATAAATGTGATTTAAATCAGGATATTCCTGCCGGTTGACCTCACTGAACACAGCTTCCAGAAGCGACAAGTCAAATGTCTTCTCCAGCTCACTGAGAACATTGTAAACCACCCTCGATACAGGGACCAGGTTTCTACAAGAATCTTGACAGTCCTAGAAAATATTGAATGGAGAAAATATAAATACAGACTTCCACGTTACAGAAGAGTCCTAGAAAGAGATTTTATGGTTAATGTATTCCAATTTCCATACATATGTATCTTTTCACATAAAGGTTTAGAATTTCTGTGTATTTGTATGGCTACCAAGTGGAACAGTAAATCCTTTCTCCTTAGAAATCCCCATTTGTGAATCTGATCTCCCCACCCTCATTTACATTAGATGTAAGAAGGAGAAATTCTGAAGAATAAAATTGGGTTCAAAGTTAATGGATATGTAGGCTTCTAAGAGCTTCGTCAAATGTTTTAGGAATAGACAAGGCAGGTGATGAGCAGCTATCCTGTTGACTGGACAACTCCTGCCCCTTCACCAAGACTGACTTGGTGTGGAAGGGCTCAAGGAAGGCAGGTGACAGTTTCCCCATTTGTGAACTTGACCACAGGGAAAGCATATTTGTAGGGCAAGGAGAAGACTTGCATCTCTGTAGCTCCAACAACACCTATTGCTAAAATTAACCCAAATTCCAAGACTCCAGAAATAGCATAAATAAAATAAGTAAATAAATGGAAAAAAAAAGATCCCCCCCCCAAAAAAAACCATTGGAGAAAGAATAGCAAGCATATACCCCCAAATTTGTCCTAACAGGACATCAATTCCCTGTGGGTTTTAATGTTCTCAGATCTAACTATTTAAATTGAAGTTCATTGAAAAGAAATGCTGTGTCAATTATTATTTCATTAAATCATCTCATTTAAATTATTCATCAATTCATTAAAATTCTTTTAATTCTTAGTTTATGCTCTACTGTGTGCATTCCTACAAGGAATTAAACATCTGTGGAGCACACCTGCTTCTGATGCAGCCTGTCTCCAGTGCTACTCACCTTGATGCCAGTGGTCACCATGAGCACCATCCCTTCAGTTAGAAGCAGGACTGTCTCCAGTGATGCCTGTTTCTACTCTCTCTCTCCTTTTTTAGCTTATCACAATACTTGAACAATTGCAAAAATACTTGAAAAGGTCTTCTTCTCATAGGAAACTCCTCAGTTAGCTACTTGTGCCCTTACTTCTGTGTTCAGGTTATCGAAGCATAACTTAGTATGGGGCTAGTTTACCAGATTGTGACACAATAAACCTCACTTACTTCATACAATTTATTGGTGATGAGTTCACGGTCACGAAGACCCTCAAAGAAAGGAAATGTCTTTTTTATTGCAGTTGAAATCTCCACTTTATGTCTTTTGAAGTGCCTGAATACAGTCTCAAAGATAAGCCTGTCGTCTGTGTTCTGATTTTCTATGGATATCCTAGGGAGGAAGAATACCATGTGAAAACGGTCATCAATATTCCAAGATGCTTGTGGAGGCTGTAACATTTTATATATAAAGGATAGGTTGTAAAGAACCAACATATATAAAATAAGTGGTTTCAGTAGAGACCAGAATAAATGGAATTGAAACAACAAACAATGATATAATTGAAGAAAGTGAGGAGGTTAAGAAAGACTGAAGCACAGGACTGAAAAAGTCCATTCCAGTCTGTCCCAATTAAAACCATTGTACAGATATCTCCCCTTATCTGGTATATTTTTTAATTAAAAAAATTTTAAATTTGTACAAAATCAAGGTGGAATAAACAGAGGAATGAAAACAATGGAATAAAAAATCTAACCTTGAAAAATGTTTGTTAATTAATAATTAAGAGAAAATAAAACAAGATGTCCCCTCCTCTGATCTATAACTGTTAAGAGAAATACCATCTTGTATTATAAAACTAGTTCATAAATGATAAGATGTGGTTAAGAATATGATACGGATAAACTGAGAAATTCACAAGACTATCAGTCATTTCTTCCGGGACTTCTACTTTGTGTTAGTATAAATCTTTCTGTGTTATTGTTTTATATAGTGAATCTTTCTAGACATCTGAATTTCAGAAATTGCTGCTATTTTCTGTGATAGTAATTTTAAACCTCAGCCTTTAATTCTGGTTCTTAGGTGATTATGTTATTGCTCTGATAATGTTTTAATCAACATTTTGTATTCATAAGAGTTATGAAGACATTAGGATTCTTTGTCAAACCAGAAGAAAATTATTGTCACTTACCAGTACCCAAAACCATCAAAGAAATGACACATTATTTTGTTGAATTCTGCATAAAGAAGTTTCTGATTAAAGACTGCAGATTGAAGAGGATCATTTGTCTTCTCTTTTATTATCTCCCCTCCCCCCCACTAAAATGCTAATGAAGGGATTGGATTCACAATGACGAGGAGAATGTCAGGGGGCAATGAGCAGATGAGAGATTACTACCGAAATCTATAAGACAAAAACTGGTCAGAGGATCACTAATTACTGTTGTAGGTGGAGGATGCTCCCAGAGGTCAGAGAAGCAACCAGTGTACCCTGCAGCACCTGGAGAAGCAGTGGAGATCACAAGGGAGACATGGTGCTGAAAACTGTTGTGTTATTTGAAAAATGAAGAACAGAACAACACACCCTTCACCCCTCAACTTGCCTCCTGACCACTTGTGCCCAGGCAGCCTCTCAGAGGGAAACATTGCTGTCCTTTCTGTCACCATATGTTAATTTTGCCTGTTCCTGGATTCCATATACATGAAAATAATACAACACATGTGCTTTGTGTCTGACTTCTTTTGCTCATCATCCATGTTGTTGGATGAACAGAAATTTGTTCTTTTTTATTGTTGAAGGTATTCCATTGTGTGGACCTACCATAATCCGTTTATTCATTTTCCTGTTTATGGACACTTGGGTGGATTCTAGTTTGGGACTAGTTTGAATAAAGCTGTTGTTCTTGTACAAGTTTTTTAGTGGCAAGATGTTTTAATTTCTCTTGTGTAAATAACTAGGAGTGGAATTGTTGGGTCATTGTGTAGGAATATGTTTAATCGTTTTAGAACCTGTCAAACTGTATTTCAAAGTCTATGTTTGACCCATTTTAGTCTATAATGTATAATGTGATATCCCATATAGTTTTAATTTGTATTTCTTTAATGACTGATAATATTGAGCACACTTCTGTATGCTTATTGGCAATTCATAATCTCCTTTTGTGAAGTGTCTTTTCAAGTCTTTGGCCCATTTATATTATTAGATTGATTGTCATTTATTATTTACTGATGTGTAGGAGTTTGTATATATTATGGAAACAAGTGTTTTGTTTAATGTACGCATTATGAATATTTTTTCCCATTCTGTGGTTTGCCTTTCATTTTCTTGACCATGTCTTTTGACCTGGTTAAGCTATCATTTTTTTCTTCTGTGGCTAATAACTTCAGTGTACTATTTAAGAAATCTTTGCCTTCCCCAAGTTAATGAAAATATTCAAAAAGTAATTTACAGTATAAGCATGGATCTATTTCTGGATTTTCTATGCTGTACTATTTATCTGTTTGTCTATCCTTGTGCCAATAGTATATTGACTTGAATACTACAACTTATAGTAAGTTTTGAAGTCAATTAGGAAAATATTGTCTTGGGTTTTCTAGGTCTTTTGTTTTTCCACATATTTTTAAAATTGGATTTGTCAATTTCTACAAGAGACGCATTGTAGAGTTTTATAAGGTTTGCATTGAATTTGTTGATAAATTTGGTGAAAAGTGACATCTTAACAATATTGAGCTCTAATCCATTTATTTATTTTTCCTTAATCTTGCCAGAAGTGTTTACAGCTTTCAGTATAGAAGTCATACACTTCTTTCATTAAAATTATTCTTAGTTATTTTATTGTTTGAGGGGGCTACTTTAAATGATATTGCTTTTTAAATTATTTCTAACAATTGTATGAACATAGAATTGATTTTCAGAAACATTAACCATGTATTCATGACCTTCCTAAATTCATGTATTCTAGTAATATATTTGTAGATTTCCTTTGGATTTTATAGAAAAAACAATCATGTCATCAGCAAATAAAACTCTTTTTTTTTTTTTTTTTTTTTTTTTTTTTGCGATACGCGGGCCTCTCACCGTTGTGGCCTCTCCCGTTGCGGGGCACAGGCTCCGGATGCACAGGCCCAGCGGCCATGGCTCACGGGCCCAGCAGCTCCGCGGCATGTGGGATCCTCCCAGACAGGGGCACGAACCCGTGTCCCCTGCACCGGCAGGCGGACTCTCAACCACTGCACCACCAGGGAAGCCCTCTTTTTTCTTTCTTGTTGCACTGGTTAAGAGTTTAAATACAATGTTGAGGAGAAATGGTGAGAATGGAATCCCTTGCCTTGTTTCCAATGTTAGAGAAAATGCATTTAGTATCACCATCAAGTATGATGTCATACACACACACACACACAACTGAGGAAGTTTCTGTTTATTGCTAGTTTGCTGAGAGCTTTATCATGGACAGACGTTAAATATTATCAAATGCATCTATTGAGCTATTCATATCGTTTTCCTTCTTTATTCTTTAATTTAGTGAGTCACGTTGATTGATTTCCAGAGCTTCCTCTTAAGTAGAAGCAAATAACCACAGGTCAGCAGACATTTGAAGAAAGTCTCCAATATCAGAAAGAAAGAACAACATTAAAAAAGAGAAAAAGTTGCCCCAGGAGAAACAGAGATATTGTAGGAAACAGGAGAAACTTCCAAAACCTCTAATATTTTTAGAGAGATTTGAGAATACATATTGCACCCCTGGTTACAAAGAAAAAAGAACTGTCAGAGAAAGAGATAGTGGCATTAGATATTTTTTTAAATTGATTTTTGGAAATTTACTAAGATTTACTAAAATGGTTGTAAAATAAAGTTGGGGAAATTTCCCACAAAATTAAATGAAGAGATTAAAAGAACAAAAAAGAATAAATTTGAAAGACAACATAGGAGAGTAAGATTAATTTAGGGGTCTAATAGCAACCTAATTAGAGTCAAGAAAGATGTGCAAGGAAATGTAGAGGAGGACCACATCAAGAGAATTATTTAAGGAGATATGTACCAGGGAGTAGAAGGACATGGATTTTTTAAAAAGGACTTAGAGAAATGAATTTTAAAAGAACCAAACCAAGGCATATCACTATGAAATGCCAACATCTAAAAAACAGAGAAGAGCTTAAAATATTCCAGAAAGAATTAAGAGACTGGTCACTTGTGGAGGAATGATGGCAAGAATAGCTTGAGACATCTCATCAGTAACAGATCTAGCCCTTCAAAATACAGAGTGAATCAGGACAACTTCAGACATGTAGGGCTGAGAAATTTTACTTTACAAACATCCATTTTGAGTGTTTTCCTAAAATTTTCTTTATTTCCTTTATACATATGTCAATACATATTTTTAAGGTTTAAAAATACAGTTTATACGTGCTCTAAAATTTTTATGCAATCATTATTTTCCTTTCCATCCACATCACTGTGCCCACTCCTCCTGCATAGTCCATTTTAATCACCTTGCATGTATTCTTTCCTAAATTCTACATAAGCATATAAATCCATCTACCTATTTCTATAACCTACCCATAACTTGCAGGGGGTTTATTCATCATATTATATTATAATATTATATAATTTTCTTTGAATTACAAATTGCCTTCTGCATCAAATTTGTCTTCACATTAATACCTTGCAAAATATTCTCTAAGTTGGGCTTCCCTGGTGGCGCAGTGGTTGAGAGTCCGCCTGCCGATGCAGGGGACACGGGTTTGTGCCCCGGTCCGGGAAGATCCCACATGCCGCGGAGCGGCTGGGCCCGTGAGCCATGGACACTGAGCCTGCGCGTCCGGAGCCTGTGCTCCACAACGGGAGAGGCCACAACAGTGAGAGGCCCGTGTACCACCAAAAAAAAAAAAATTCTCTAAGTCATCTAGTGTGGTTCTAGCTTGTTTATTTATTTTGTCAATGTATAATATTGAACAGCACACACCTACTCTTAGGAAAATACAATATGATGGATTTCGGAAAAACAGGGAAGTAATCCAGTAATGAGGAAGATGTGAAAATTAGAAACCAGTGGATCCAGTAATGGATGCAAGTTGGCAGTCCAGTAACAGATGGAGAACATGAACATCTCAGATGGAACAGGTGATGATTAAAGCATATAAATAAGTGCAATGAATGACAACAATGTCATAAGGGAAGGGAGAAGGGAATTGGGAATAGTCTGCTATAAGGTACCTGTACTACAGGGGAAGTGGTATAAAATATGTATTGCAATCTCTAGACAACCACCAAAAGCATTTAAAAAGAAGTATAATTGATATATTAATAGAAGACTAAGATGGGCTCATATAAAATGCTAAATTAAAGCTAGAGAAGGAAGAAAAAGAGGGGGAAAAAAGAGACAAAGAACAAA